TGTGCCTAATTACTTGCTTTGTTACTAATATGTTGTGAACTTGAAACTTGGGGAATGGTGTTACAAGCACTGTGGGGGGAAAATGCTTTTGTGCTGTCTGAGGAGACAGAGAAAAATGTTAAGAAAAATAAAAGGAACTATTAAGAAACAAAGAGTTTGAATTAGAGCAAACCAATAATGAAAGAAATGGGTAATGATTGATCATGTGAGGCTTTGGAAGAAAAAAAAAATTGAATGAAAGGAAGAAATATCGAGACTGATGATTTCATATTTCTGTCCACTCTAGATTACCAGTGATTTTAAAGGCTAAAGTAATAACTTTTTTTTAGAACATTGTCAGTGTTCAACTAAGCCTCCCTTACTCTCTTCCTGTCTTCTTTTCAGGTGAGCAGATAGAAACAGGGTAAAGTAATAAACATCTAAATGTAGTTGCTAAGGACATAAAAACAAGTTGCCCCCAAAACTATAGTTAGAACTAGCATTTAACACAATTCTAATTAAATATAGGGGGGGGTGGGAGGGGTTCAAAAATTTTTACACATTTTAAGTATGACATTTTCTCAAAGGATGGCATTAATCAAACGCATGTTAGCATCACCATGTGATAGGCAAGATAGCCAATGGCAGAAGCACAATTGAGTGAATGTTATACTACACAATGCTACTGTAATTCAATTCAACTTAGAAAAGTAATACACAGATAACATCTCTTAAAATATGTACACTTTTTTGTCACCCCCCCGTATATACACATGCTCACATATACATGTATATATATAAAGTATCTTGAAGATTATACAATCTTATTGAAATATTAGTTATTAGGCCTAACTTGATTATTTGCTCATTGGGCTTCCTATGGAAGCTAAAGAGCCAGTCAAAGGATAAAGAAGTTGATCTTTCAGGGAGTCTATTCTTCTTGGTCTACAAACATTTGAGGGTGGTAAAGACTTATGTAGTGACAGACCAGTAATTTTTGATTAGGCAGCTATTAGAAATGCAATTGCTACAACAAAGTCTGTTACTTCCTAGAATCATGAAAAATAAAAGATCATAGAATTTATAAGACTAATCATTTAATTGGTGAAATAATATTTTCCTTATTCTTAGTACTAGAAAATAGACTCAGAATGATGATACTGCCCTATAAATAAACATACCAAAAGAAATACTAATTCTTTTTGCTATGCTAAGCATTTTTTGGCAGTTATGTTTAACAGTGCAATTGCTTTCTAGAGGATAATAATAATAATAATTGATAAGAATAGTTCTTATTCTACCTTTAATTTTTTAGCATACTTAATTCCATTCAAATTCTTATGGGCCCATCCATCAAATTCAACCATTATCAACTCACAGTTTACCTTTGTAAAATTTATACCACACTATTCCAAGGCCCTAATTCAATTATTGATTACTTTGAATTAATTATACAGCCCCATTTTATTAAAAATTACAAATATATCTCTGTAAGATAAAGCTTTTTTTTTGCATATCCACAATTCAAAATAATCACACTTTTAAAATATCAATTATTTTATTTCACTTAACATTTGGGTATTAAAACTTCCTCAGTTTTCTCCCATAAATGTTTAACAGTTGTGTGTTTGAATTAGAATCCAAATAAGCTTACATACATTACGATTGGTTTTTAAGTTCTTACATTACTATATATGTTTTCCTTCTATAATTTTTCTTGCTATTTATTTTAAAGAAATTGGATTAGTTGTCAGGTAGAATGCTCTATTGTCTGTATTTTTATTATAGTGTTTCTAAAATACAGATATTTGAAATATTGTCTCTATTGTCCAGTCAATAATTCTATTAATGATACACTTTCTGTTATAACATTTATGCTAATGATTTGGTGACATATGACATTTATGTTTTCACAATTTACTAGTTTTCTCTTTTAATATAAGAAAGTTGATAAACTCTCAATAACTATGATAGTCTTGGTACATTTGATTAAATCAAGGAAACTCTAGGAATTTATTTCCTAAAAATGATCTCAAAGCATTCGTAGTCATTTAATTTTATAAATCTGAACACAATGTTTCAAGTATAATTTCAAGGATATATGTAAAATTTTGCATGAGCTTGGTATAATTTAAAACAGTCCTTGAAAAAATGGATAGAATTTGGCATGATAAACACAGGTAGGGAGTATTCCCATAGGAATTATAGAAGGCAGAGAAAAAAAGATGAGTACAAATGAGATACAAATTTATCTTGGCTAGAAAATGTATTAGGCAAAGATAGTGGAAGATGAAGATGGAAACAATATAAGAATATTTTGTAGAGGTCCTTGAATGTCATAATTTACTTTGAATCTCACTAATCAGCTGCATGTTTTAAGAAATTTATTGTTTCTTCTTGGACTTTTCTTCCTTCACCTATAATTTCACTTCTCTGTTTAAGAAAAACAATGATACCAGGAGTCAAGCCTAGATACATTTTGTAGTCCTTTCTGGTTCTCATGTTCTATTCAGAAGAATGAATTAGATAAGCAGCACAACCCTTGACTTCCTCTAGGCCAGAGGTGTTATGGGAAGTTTTGAAGGCTTGAGTTACTGTGATACATGTGGGAGAGAACTGAAAGAAACAAGAGATGCCAATAGATTTGTAGAGGTTGAATCAGCATGACTAGGTATTGATTACTTATCTGTAGTATTTGAAAGAGAAAAGGAAAGAAGCAACTCTTAAGTTTCAAGTCTACACAATTAAAGAAAACTATGGTCTTGCGAATAAAAGTAAAGAACTGATTAAGACTTTGGGAACAAAAGAAGCAAGATAGAGAGTTTGGTGTGGTGAGCTTGAAGATTATGTAAATAGAAAAGTCTTTTATTCAGTTGATATTGGTGAATGGGAGTATGAACAGAAATTAATTAGTTGAAATCATAGCAGAAAATAAATCACTAAGTAAATAATACATAAAAGTGTTTGAGGGGAAAGAATGTAGTCTTGGGGCCAATATTATGCCTTTAAGAGATGAAGAAAGAAGAAGACCCAGGAAAGGAAAAAGAAAATGGACAAGAATGATGGTGGACAAATCAGGTGAGCATATTGGAATGACAGACTATGAAAGGGAGAGATCAACATGGCCAAATACAAAGACTAAAGAACATAGAACTGAAGACAATGATTGTATTCTTCAAGCTAACAACTGCACAAGTTCAAGGGAAGTAGGACAAAAGCCAAGTTTCAAGGATTTAAAGAAAAGGATTAGGCATAAAAACACAGGCAGGAAATAGAGTGTTCTTACATAATAAATCAACAAATATGCATGGATCACAAACCAGACTGATTTTGGCCAAATTACTGACTGGACTTTGTAGTGGTTGTTTTTCCAGTTCTATTGTAAGAATTATATTATGACACTTCTTTAAAATCATGGAGGAAAAAGCAGTAAGGTGGCTTCTACTCAATGAAAGAATGTATAATTCCTACAATAGAACTGAAAGTACATTCTTTCATTGTCATCTCTATTGCTAATATTTGTGTTCAATTTAGAGAGTATAGGATAGACACAGTGGTAAACATTTATGTAGTTTCTTTACTCTTGTATTGACAAGTAGGCTGAGCAGTTCACAAAATATATATATTTTTCATTTGTGTCCTTTTTTCAAATTTAATTTTTAAATTGCTATCTCACTGCATTGAGACAGTTTGATTGTTTTATTGTAAGTTACTCTGTGATATTATTATTGCTGAGATAGTTTGGACCACTGTTGCCAGTTATCTCAGTGCCCAATGTAGTTAGAAAACAAAACACATTGTATGAAAACAACAATATATCACATGCCAAATGTGAAAAACAAGTGCTCTGTGAGCCTGAAAAGTCACCTCCATATAAGGATGTAGTCCCCTCCAGCCAGACTGTTTTAAGATTTTTAAGCTCCTACCACAGGGCATCTCAGTGTGGTAAGAGTTGACTTAGGAAATACATTTTCATCCTAAGTAATTCTTTCCTTGTCTAAAGTACCCTCTGGTTGTCAGTGAAGCAATCGAATCAACTGCAGTAGGGCTCTCTGTGACCTCATCCTGATTCCAATACCCCCAGGCTGTTCTTGTTTCCTTGGAGACCTTGGGGGCTGTACATGTACAGCAACTGGGTTCAGGTTGAGTCATGATTCACCTGAGAAGTGAAGAAACTCAGGTATCAACCCATGGCCGTTACATGTCCTGGCTCTAGCAATATTCTTTAGAACACAGCGATTCCAGAACTCTTAAGTAACTCAATTTAAGTTTAGTTTAATGTACAAATTTGCATTTTGTTTATAAAGCATTGCTTCTCTAAACTTGGTTTAAAAATGTTTTCTTGTGAGTCACTGAACAAATATTTTTATTTAAAAAATCATTTAGAAATGTAATTCAAAAATGCCCAGAAGTTGTCATTAGTATTTACATTTGTTTTTGAATATTCAATGTCTCTTTATTTTTGTATACATCTTTCTTTTGACAAAATGTCTTTTATTGTTCACTTTCTTGAAAAATTCTATTACGAGAAACCAGCAACAGCCTACTAGGTGGAAACCACATTATTTAGCCACTTGGCTTTCAAAATAATATTTAGAAAAAAAGCAAATTAGAAGAGTTTATGAAAGAAACTAATGACTTTCATCTCATATTCTTCTTCATTCTACTCTTTTGAAGGAAAAAAAATCTTTCAATCATGTCATTTACAAAGATTGAAATTTTTAATAGGATGCAATAATACTATTAAAAAATATCCAGACTATCACAAGCCATAATTTTAAAGTCAATGATGACACATTTTATTACAAGGGGTCCACTGCATTATTTCATAGTGCATTCATAATCAAAGATCATGCTGTATATGTTGCATTGCCATAATTTTCTAATTAATTTGTTCTTTATACATGTTTATATGTGTTCCAATTGCATTTCATTAACTCATAGTTTTCTTGTAAGTTTGTGCTTTCTTTCCATGTTCAAAGAATCTCTTTAATTCAATTTCTCTGTTTCTTCTCATACAGTCTGGCAGCCAGATATGCACCTCAGTCTAATCACAGTGGAATTGCAACCAGTCAGAAAAAGCCTACTAGGTCAGTTAATATTCTCTAATTTATTGCTTCTTAGTGATATTCAAGTAAATACCCAGTGATATTTTGTCCTTTCTAAATTCTTTTAAAATGACACACTTCTGAATGAGAAGTTTAGAGCACTGAATTTGTCCTAGCAGATTTCCATACATAGTTTAAGGGAAGAGCATGTTTGTGTTAGATCATTAAATGGATTTAGCTTCTTCTATTTTAGTTGCACATAGTGCTGTGACTGAGTCTAGGTTTTAGGCTTAGAACAAGTAAAAAAAGAAGAAGAAAAAAAAAAAATTCTGAAGGCCTCATTTTTTCCAGGTCACATCATCTGGAAGTTATACAAAAAGATTGTAATTGATTTTTGAGTTGGGCATGCATTGATAATTGCATATTTTAAAACAGAATTGAGAAACATTGGCAGATTTTGGTGGGGATATTAGTACCAGGCCAGTCTGGACTGTTTTTCTATCTATCATATTTTGAATTTTTACTTCTTTATAACAAATGTATTTTAAAGACAATCTGTTATAATCAATGGCAGCTCATTACATACTCTTTGGAGATTGATGTATAAAAAGTGTTGAAAGCGTTTGATTCTTAAAAAATGATAAGTTTGCGGAAGGCATGGTGGTAATAGCATTGGGCAGCTGAAGGAAGCCACAGCAAAAGTGTTTTACACCTCTGATTAGTATTGATTCTTGTGCCATTTCGTTCACTGGGGAAGTATCCAGGGGTGATTTTTTAGTCATCGTGCTATTCATAAATTGTATTATGCAATGCTTGACCACAAGGACTGCTTCTGATGCTTTGACTTGAGGTAGGTGCCTTTCCCCTTGCCTTGGCTTTCTAAGTTATATTCATTTCCATAGAAAACAAAATAATCCTAGAGAGACACATTTAAAGGTATTTAACAAAAAATTAGAATAAGTTATATAAATTGGGATGTGTAAGGAACAGTGACCTGCTGTGTATAATGAACAGTTTTTATTATTCCTTCTAAAACTTGGGCATGTAAAATGTATTTCTAACACTTTGTTTTAATAGTGAGTGTCTCTCTCTCCCCGCTCCCGCCCCCTTCATCTCATTTCCTTTTTTATTACTTTGATGAATGATCTGGAGCTTCTCTGGCTACCCATCAAATTAGGGTAATGAGGAGAACAAACGTATTTTTTAAATTTGTTCTTCTGAGGACTGAAAATCACTTGGCTTCATGGTTCATAGTAAAGATTAAAATGTCTTTTAATTGCTTTTTAGAAACAGGTCAACTTTCATTGCAAGCAGGGCAAGTTTTGTGACAAAATTTGTTTGTACATGTGAGTTTGGAATGAACTTTCTCAGTCTATGGCTATATCAACAGAAATGGTTCTCAGACTTATTATGATTGGGACATTTGACCAAATTAATTAGTTGAGTTATTTCTGCAGAGTGCAGTCACTGGCACTGCAAATTCCTAGTGTCTGTGGTTATTGTGCTATACTTACAATCCCTTGTAGATTCATTTGAGCAAAAGTTAAATGCTGGAATCATTTGGAAAATGATCCTAATCTTGTGTATGGTACCACAGCTAATTAGTAACATAGCTGAAGGGACTATTTATTAGACATATGTATTTAAACTCTAAAACACAGTCAACATTTTGAAACTATTAACTGCTCCAAGAAATCATCACATTTGTTTTTAAGCTGGTTTTTACTTTTTCCTAATGTCCATTCCATTTTGCAATGCGTGTTATTGTTAATAAAGTATATTTTCTAAGGTTTGATTATGTTCTAAAAATTTGTGGGAGTAATATAGTCAAGTAGTATTATAACGGTGAGATAAAATTTGATTATTGTAACAACTGGATTGTTAAATTTTGATACATTGGGCACCAGTATAAAATATGTCAAAATATTTTATTTAAAATTGTTATAAAAGGACACTGTGAAAACATTTAGTATTGTATTTGTAAATTCTGGATTTTTTTTTTCTTTTCAAATAGAAATTTTTAGAGTAGTACACAATGGCATTCACATGGTGGCAGCAAATATTGCTAAAAGTATTGGCAACCTTTAATATCATGTTTTCTAACTGGATGTTAGAGTGTCAATATTAGTTCTCAATTTCTATTTTTTAATTTGGGAATTGAGATCATTATGCCTATACAATATATATTAGTAGTATAAAACCAAAATCTAGTTATTTCACATTTTAGGCCCAATTGAAATAATTGAGAATTGAAGTTTTAACGTGGAAATTGCTTAAACAGTAAAATAAATAATCCAAGTGATATTTAAGTATAATTTAAATAAAATATCAGTAGGTCATAACCTCCTGTTCAGCTGCCCCTAATTATAAGATAGCATGTATACATTTTCTCATGCCCTATACTTTATATGCAAAGAGTGGCTGAAGCTATGGTCACTGAAGATATATTTTAAACAGTCATTCAGCTAACAGTGATTTTCTTCTTCTGAGAACTGCATCTTTTCTTATAATATTTCCTTTGTAGTCAGTTGGCCACACTTGTGAGATAACCACCTAAAGTCTAGGTGCTTATTTTTGGCAAGATAATGAAAAAAATTCTTAGTGAGTCTGACCATCAAGTATAATTTAATTCATGACCTGGGTCCCAGCACCATGTTTTAGTTAGAGTAGCTAGCTGGTTTAGGTATTCAACAGGCATTTGCTGTTTTCAACTTTTTAGTAACTTTATCCTTGTTATTAATAGATAGACAGCCTTACTTAAGATGCAGCTACCTTTGAGAAAACAAATACTCCATATTTTGGCAAGAACAGTTTAACAACTATAAATAACTAATTAGCATGCTGAAAACGTAACAAAGTTATTTTTTCACTCACTTTTCATGTAATTGTGACAGTAATTTAAGTCAAAATTTTATACATCAGGGATGAGGTAAGTGTGACTTTTTTTTTTTGAGTTGGAGTGTCACCACTCTGTCACACAGATTGGCGTGCAGTGGCATGCTCCCGGCCACCGCAGCCTCCACCTGCTGGACTCCGGCGATACTTCCGCCTCAGCTTTCCAAGTAGCTGGAACTACAGGTGCATGCTACCATACCCGGCTAATTTTTTGATTTATTGTGGCGATGTCTCACCAAGTTGCCCAGGCAGGTCTCGAACCCACGGGCTCAAGCAGTCCACTCACCTCAGCCTCCCAAAACGCAGGATTATAGGCTGAGCCACCAAGTCCGGCTAGTGTGATTTTTAGTTAAAGATTATTTTAATTATTCTACATTATTCTTCTTTGAGGACATGCTTACTGAATGATGAAGCAAGATGGTTTTAAAGATTTCCAACATTGTGTTTAACTATTTATTTTTTGTCACTTGAATCACCATGTCTGCCAAATAGATTTCAGAACATGATATATTGTAATTTTCCCATTGACTCTTCCCTGCTCAGAATCCCTTGCTCCCTCCCTTTTTTTAATACACAAAATGATGTAATTTTTCTTATACTATTTCAGGCTTCCAGGGCCCTCTAGGGTGCCAGCTGCAGGCAGCAGCAGCAAGGTCCAGGGAGCCTCTAATTTAAATAGGAGAAGTCAGAGCTTTAACAGCATTGACAAAAACAAGCCTCCAAATTATGCAAACGGAAATGAAAAAGGTAAGTGTTCATCTGTTGCATCATCATGAGCACAAGTCTGATATGAGTCTTGTGAATTACATGCCAAATATAATATTTGATCAGTGTAACAGATTTTGGGATGAAAATTTGTTATCAGTGGCATTTCCTAGTGTTTCCTAACTACCCCCCTCCTGAATTACAGCTTTCTTATATAAAAAACATTTTAAGGAAATAGGCTCATGTATTTTAGTGTAGTTAATTATATATCCAAGTATAAAATCTGTTTCTCAAAAATCCCAAATGCATATAAATCACATTTTCTTAGACCTTTTTTAATGAAACTATATCAGGAAATCATAAAGTTATATTGAATTTCTTGGGATCCTTAGCTCAAGTTAAAGTATGTGCCGTAAGTGTTGAGGGCAGGTATGGTTGGAGCATCAAATGTTGGAACATAATTATGATAGACATTTATCTTTGCAAGCAGCAAGTCCAGGAAATAGTGTAACCTCAGTTTTCTCCTGAAGACAAATTATACATATTTGCTTTGTTCTCTTGAAATAGTACCTAATATAAATATCAAGTTATAAAATCATTAGGAAGGAAGGACAGTTTGTAGGATTCTGTGTTAAAGTCATTTTGTAAATGAACTATATGCTACACAGTTCTCTGTGATGTGCAAAGTGTACCTTTAAAGAAGTGTTGCCTTCATGCCTGTCACTGTGTAGTAAGAATGAATGTCAGAGGAGAGGGTGTGGAGGGTGTACTTGAACCATGAGGAAATTGAGATCTTATGCTTTTACAAGTAGTGTCGTGGTTGGTGGGACTAGGGTGTTTTGCTGGATTTTGAGGAAATCTTTCCAAATCAATAGAACCTCAAACTTCTCTTCATAGTATTGGGCTCTACATAAAACAACACATGGCATTAAAAAGTATCACAGATGTTTAGTGAGTAGACACCTGAAAAACTGGGGTTGATTAAGTCTACCAAGTAGGAAGATTTTTGCTCAGATGAGATAATTGCAAATTGTTTTAGATAGGCAAATGATTAGACAACTTTCTCTTACTTGGATATGAATTGACAGGTGTGACCTATGATTTAACATTCTCCCTTTCCAACTAAAGTAAAAGTAAACAGATTGTAAACCGCTGAGGGCAGAGCTGTGTGGCTGTATATTTTGATCCCTACAACATCCCCAGCTCTTGAGTCAAGGGGGAAAAAAAGGAAAGAAAAGTCTGTATTTGGAATTTAGGAGTTTGTACAATGACCATTTGTGGACCTAACCCTGAATTGTACCCCACATCTTTAAGATAAAAATAAAAAATAAAATAAAATAAAATCCTAAGAAATATTCTGAAGATTACACTCTTCCTGGGGAGATGGGAGATGACGGTTCTGTATCATAAAATCATTTCCCCTCGTTTTGTGACTTCTCTAGAAAGTATTAGACAGCTTCAGGATAATGCTTCTTGTATATGCTATAAAATGTCTAGGGGCAGCTAACAGACTTAGAAAGAGATGTGTTGAATGGAGTACCAAAGTGTCCAGTTAAGTTGCATATTATCATAGTTATATAATATTTTTGCAAGAAATTACTAATAACTTTGGCAAAGAGACTTAGAAATACTTTAGATAAACGAACACTTTTATATCATAATGTATCTATTTTTTTCTAGAATGTGAAATAGTCTATTTCTGATGTCTAAAAGTAAATATCCAAAGATAGAGAAACATTAATACATTTTCATGGCCACTCACTGCAAACATACCTTTCCTATGTATACCTGAAAAGTAGAACAAAATTAGAAAGTAGTAATATTTATAATAACCACAAGGTGGAGACAGATGTCATGTAATGTGCAGGCCTTGATCCTAAGCCAGATTTCCTTAAGGTATGTTTCTACAACGAAAGACAAGAGTTTTCATGGTGAGTTAATCATTACTTGTAATCCCAACTCATTAAAATTCCAAAACATTTGAAATGTGTGCTCTCACACTCAAACAAATTTATAATATATAAAACGTAGGCATTAAATATCTATACACAGTCAATAGTAACTTAAGCTTAAATGGCTTCATGTGATAGTACATTCATCTGGAATTTGTATTACGTGCAATGTGGCATTTGCTATTAAACGCGGAGTTACATTATGTCAATGCATACAATATCAATATTTCTTTTTTTAATTTTTAATTTTAAATATGTGGGGTACAATTCAGGGTTAGGTATACAAATGTTCTTATGCAGGTACCCTTGTTGATGAGGTATGCCCCCTCTCCCCTGGCAGTTTCCCACAGTGCTTCTAAATTAATCATTGTGTATACTATTTTAGCTTTTCAAAGTATTTTCTCAAAGGATAAGAGCAAATAAAACAGTAATAAATACTATATATAAAATAATTTATAATTTTATTCTGTATTCAAATGGTACATTTTTCAATAAAGATGTTTATTTTTTGACATAAAAATTTATAGTGCTAGCCTAACACATAAAATATAAGATCTACTGACAAGGTGATCTCTGTCACCAACTAGTTTGCATACGTATCTTGGGTGTGACCCAGCCAATATGGAAATTAAGAAAGAACTTTCAAAGTTCGCAGTATTATAATGACAGAACTAAGAAAGTACTAATATGAATGTTCTTAGTCTGATTGCTATGTTTTCAGTTTTTAAAAATTGGAACATTTAAATTAATAAATAAAGAATTTATTTGAAGAATTATCCAATTATCTGTAATGTGTTCTTTGAATGCTTCTAAGTAGAAATATATTTTCTGCATTCTTTAATAAGTCTGGGGTGATGAGTTATATAAATCAATTCAGAAATCTCTAGAATTTGTAATAGATAGTCAAGGTTTATTCACAATTAAAACAACTTCACTTTTCTATTTAAGAAAAACATACTGTTGAAAGCACAGCAACTTTTCATGTGTATGATTTGTAAAACAAATTAGTTTATTTGAAAATGATGTGACATTTAATGAAAGAAAATCAGTAGAAAATCACAAACTACACTTCAAAAGATACATCTAACATCATTTTAATAATAATGGAATTCAAAAAATGTGTTCATTTTACCATTTCACCAAATGAATTAAAATATCAGTGCACATTGTAATAGATTATCACTTGCAGAGAAGGCTGAAATAGAAATGTTACAATAGAATGCAATGCCATCCCACCGTTATGTTGAAGTGGAATGTGGAAACAATTTTCTCAGAACAAGTAGTGAAATGAAAATAGCATCATTTGTAAAGCATTTCTTTTGAGAGTCCTTCAGTTTCTTCTCCTGATGACCTGCCATTTGGAAACTGACAGTGAATAATGCCTCTGACTCCAGTATTTATCATCGTGGCCACGCACCCTATGAGAGTACTCCAGATACATGTGCTAAAGAGAACCAAGTACCTATTCATCAAGTCTCGAGGAAACCATGCCATTGTTCATTTAACATATACTTTGCATGCCTGAAACAAATCATCTTAAGAAAACATTCTTGTTTTACAAAATCTGTGTCATAAATTTGAAAGAAAGTGCTAAATTGCTTAATATTACCAGAAATGCAAAAATGTCTAGCTTTATTTGGAATCCAGTTTCTGAATTATAAAATCTATGAATATGTATTGTTTGATAGAGTTCATTAGTAAAGTTCCTTAGAAGGGATGTGTTTTTCCAGGTTGCTAAGAAATATGCCACTACCATCTTTTTTGCTGTTTCTCATATGAGATTCTTATATTGTGCCTGTATATTTACTGAAGAGTAGGGTTTCTTTCTCTTCTCCTTAGGAACTTTAATTTTATTTACACTCAACATAGCAATAGTAAGATTGATGGAAACGATTGAGCAATATTTTAATTCAACATTATAATGCTGTAAGAGTTAATGAGAATTTTACATTAGTCATAAAATTTAGATGGCTCATTGTCATCTGAAACATAGATTCTAGCTTTTAAGCTTTTTCTTAATTTTACTTTGAAATTGCTATAAAGTCAAGGGACTGTTTTATTTTCTTTTCAAGTCAATAAATGTGTTTTAGTTATTATACTCATATTACTTTACTGGTGATTTATTTTTTCCTCTTTTAATTTTTATTTAATATCGTGGGGTACAATTCAGGGCGAGGTATACAAATATTCACCATGCAGGTACCCTTATCAATGAGGTGTGCCCCCTACTGGCGATTTAATTGTGTTTGCCACGACTTTTTGCTTTATTACTTTAAAACACAGTGTCAACATCACAATTTCAGGAATCATAGGGATCTCTTCATGAGTTACCATAATTAGGTACATATGTCAGGTGATGTGACTAGGTAGACTTGGGTGTATATGTTGTTTGTGCATACATGCACACACATGTTGGTGTGCCCACAAATAATATATGCCTGGATGTAAAGGACATTGTTTTAAAACTGCCTGGTGAAAGGAAGTTTCCCTGAATGGCACAACACCCACAAAGTGGCACTGAAACATTGCAGAGGATACAATAGAAGCACTTGCAGCACGGACAGCTCCTCAGGATCACTTACAAAACACCATGCCATGGTTTTTGTTGAGTCGCTGCAAAATCGACAACCGCATTACACAAGCAATCATTTATACAAGGCAGTGTGATGAGATGCACAAGGAGATACTTAATCATAAGATTTAGATGGTTCATTGTCATCTAAAACATAGATTCTAGCTTTTAAGCTTTTTCTTCATTTTACTTTGAAATTACTATAAAGTCAAAGGACTGACTTAAAAATAAGCCAATGCAAATATGTTTTAGCTATTATACTCATATTACTTTACTGGTGATTTAATTATGTGTTTTGCCATGACTTTTTGCTTTATTATGTTAAAATACAGTGTCAACAAGACATCTGGGGTTAGATCTTACATTTTTTTAATCTTTCAAAAGAATCAAAGGCATTTTGGGATGTTACTGTGAAATGAGAATCTAAATTAATTATTTACCAAAGTGACTTCAATGGCCTTATTGCTTCATTATCTCCCTCCCCTCCACAATGGTCTGTGAGGCGTAGGGTGTCCTGTGTAGGCAGGGGCCATCTATATCTCAAGCAAAATGCCTGCTATGCAGAGAACACTTTTTTAAAAATGGGGGTATTGTCATCATTATTGTCACTTGATTTATTTCCAAGTTGAAAACTAGTTTGCTTTCATCTGAGCAAAATCCTATTCACTGAGGAAAAAGAAATATACAGATTAGGGTTGGTCCCTATGTCCTTTCTAGGTCAATATCACTGTTGGCAACACAGTGCCAAGCTCTAAAGCCAACTGAGTGTTCATTCAGAAATGTCCCTCCTTAAACCTTCCATGTGCCTATTGTGACCACCACATTTGCCTCAATGTACTAACTTGAGAGCTAGGTTGACCTTGTTCCCAAGTCATCATATTATTTGCTACCTAAGATAACTAGACATTCACTCTGTGAATGTAGATGTTTTGTTGGCATTAACTAATATCTATTCTCATATAAACTCAGAGGAATGGGTGCAGGTAGGATGCCAAAAGAAATAGCATGTAATTGGCTGAGTAGAGAGTGCCACGTGTGATATTCTCTCATTTATATTCTGCTCACTTAAGAAGGAAAGCAAGGAGCTACCCAATTAACTTCACTGTCTGACAAACATGTGACTTTCTGAAGAGCCATACCAGCAGAATTTCTGGGCATGCAGCAAAAACATGGAAAGAAAAGATAGTGAAAGCCTTTCAAGTGTTTGAGCCAGATAAACCTGAGTTCCAATTTTGATTTTGTCTTTTCTAAAAGTTCTATTACATGTGTGAAGGAGGACAAGTTACTTTCTCTTAGATTCCATGTCCCCATTTCTAACAAAGAGAAATGATAAGTATATTGCAAATTATTGTGGGTTTAAATGAGATACCCTGTATGAAAAGTTTATAAAGCACTTGGAATAAAGTAAGCAGTAGATGAATAATATTTGGTAATGGTGGAGTTGGTGATGGTAGATGTGGAGGTATAGAAAGACAAAGCAGAAGAGGGGAAGTGGAAGAAAATTGCTACTTGAATATTAGAGACAAGAGGCAGGGCTAGAAGGAGAGATAGTCAGTGAAATGCAAGACACAAATCCATTTCAGGAATGCCTTTTAATATATGCATTGGGTATCTGTTATTTTTTCCATACCAAGATTAATTCATTGTCAGAAGCTGAGTATCAACTTTCAGAAGTATATCATTGGGACCAGACTGCTTATTACTGAATATGTGAATGACAGACACAAAAATGTGTGGATACACCCCTACTCTGTTGAAGCTACAGATGCTGCCATTTTAGCTGCTATTGTGCAACCTGTATTGTGAGGAATCCAGAGAGACTCGTATTATTCCATTGCCTTCCTGATGTGCAACAACCTGTGATTTGCCCTCTTAATGAAATCTGAAGCACCTCATTGCTGTTGTATAGAGACAGGCTGGGGACAGATTTAGAGAAGGGTCTGATATGGTCTGATAAGTGTGTACTCGACAGGATGATTTTTACAGCTGTTGCTGTGACCATTACTGTGGGTCAGATGTGAATGACATATTTGGAGTCTCTCTCTTTTCATTTTTGTGTGCAGTGATGTTGAAATTCCTCTTCTGTGCTTGAATTTCTATAGCAATCTATCTGACTAATTTTCTCAGCTTGTTTTATCTTTTTTAAGGAAGGAACACCCTCTCCTACATTCCTTGTGCACCAGACACTTAAAAAGCATCTTCACTTGTTTTTCCCTACCCCTCCTTTCATCCCACCAAAGCTCCCAAGCACACTGGGATAGGAGTTCTCTCCCTGACTTCTTACCCTAGTTGTGGAGAGATAGCAGATACACACTAGATATGTGGCTAAAATGATAGGAAAAAGGACACTAGGAACACCAGATGGGCTTGCTTTGTGTTTAGCGATTCTTTGTCACAAACTGCTAAACATCCAGGTATGCTCAGCGCTGACCACGGTTCTGAAATTTCAGAGTGAAAAATGCTAATCCTGCACAGCTGTGAAACATTTAATGAATTCAGGCAATTTGGTTTCTGTCATAAGAAACAACCCTGCTGAAAATGTCAACAGTTTTCACAATCTGTGAGTCTGTTCCACCCTTGCAACTGAAAACATGGTCTGTGACCAGCAGCACTGACGTCATCAAGAAGTTTTTTTAGAAATGCAGAACCGCAGGGCTCACTGCAGACCTGTGGTATCACCCTGTGCATTTAGTAGGAAGCCCAGGTGACCCACATGCACACTAAAGTGTGAGATCTTCTGTGTGAAACACTTAGAATGCTTGACCATTATAGAGCTTGGGCTTTAGAGTGACATCGTGTGGAATCAAATCCTGGCTCCACCATGCATTCCTCACTATCTCTGCATCATTGAATGAGGTGTTTAGGCTCACCAAGCTTTGGTTTCCACAAATGTGAGTTGGAAATATGAGCCCTTGCCACCTCATTGAGTTGTGCATATGACATAGACAATAAGCAAAATATTTAAATCCATTCATAGAAAGTGAATGGTTTGAATAATTGAAAGCTTTGAAGTTTGTTGGATTTGTCTCAAATCAGTGTACATACCTATTGTTTTTTAAAAATCTTGTTGTTTGTATATGAACCTAATGAATTTGCATAAATATTACAAACATGTCCGGGCTCGGTGGCTCAGCCTGTAACCTCTCGCTTGGGGAGGCTGAGGTGAGTGGATTGCCTGAGCCCACGGGTTTGAGACCCGCCTGGGCAACTTGGTGAGACCTCATCTTACAATAAATCAAAAATTA